ACTTCTAGATAAGGTTTCCCATCCGTTAAAGGAGTAAGATACCTTCCAGACCAGGAGGTTGATAGGTGGCAAATGTAAGCATAGTAATATGTTGAGTTAAGCCATACTAATTTATCGAGGACTTATTGAGGTATTTTCTTAGTGGCGTTCGGTTTTGAGAGAAAATTTAGGAATTAGAAGCAAGAAATTGCCGTAAAAAGCGAACATCGTTTAAGTAGAAGTTCCGAATATCCCCAATCCCATACTTAATCATTAGTAGTCGCTCCAAACCAAAAGCAAAAGCCAAGCCGGTAAATTTCGGATTCTTAAAACCACAATTTTTTAAAACTTGGGGGTGAATTAAGCCGGCTCCAGCAATTTCCACCCAACCCGTTTTCTTACAAATATTACAACCTTGACCGCGACATTGAACGCAAATTGCGTCTACCTCTACGCTCGGCTCGGTGAAAGGAAAATAAGAAGGACGAAGACGAATTTTTTGTTCCTTTCCTAATAATTCTTTGACTACCAATTCTAGCGTTCCTTTTAAATGGCTAAAAGAAATATTTTTTGCCACGGCAAAGCCATCGACTTGGGTAAATTGATGAGTATGTGTGGCATCATCTTCATCCCGTCGATAAACTTTGCCAACTGAAATAATTTTCATTTCGGTATTGGGATTTTGTTGCATTATTCGGGGTTGAATAGCAGTAGTCTGGGTTCGTAAAAGCAAATTATTAGGTAAATAAAAAGTATCCTGCATGGCCCGGGCAGGATGGCCAGGCGGCATGTTTAACGAAGTAAAATTATTCTCTTCGGTCTCAATTTCAGGACCTTCGACAATTTGGTAACCTAAACGTAAAAAAATGTCGTAGACTGCATAAACAAGTTGAGTAAGAGGATGAAGGTTAGCAACTGGTATTCGCTTGCCGGGTAAGTAAATATCTAAATCTTGAATGTGAGACATTTTTCTTTATAACTATTTTTCAGTATCATACCAACCGTGCTTATTTAAAAAATTTTTGGCCGCTTGTCGGTCCGGGTCGATTGGTTCTGGGTCAGATTCTTCGGAAATATTTACTTCATAATCGGGGTCATTGGTGTTCTTAACTGGTATTAGGAAAAATTTGGTTAACATGTATTTCACCGCGTAAGTTTCGGCCGCTCCTTTGGCTTTGGCGGGGTCAGGATTGGCTCCCACTGCCCAAAAACTATAAGTTAATTGCCTGTTTTCTGTCCCCAAACTTTCTGAGTTTTCCTTACCGTTCGCTTCGGATCCAATATCAATAATATCCAATCTTTTTAAGTATTTAACCAAAAAATTATTTCCCTTCTGCTCGCAAAAAAAAGGCTCACGACTGTCGTCAGTCAGAAAAATCGCTACTTGATATTTTTCCA